ACTATAGTGGCATACATGACACAGAATGCACGGATAGAGAGTTATAAAAGTTTTATTGCAAAAAAAACAAAAAAAAAAACTGTTAAATGTTATCCTGGGTATGCACAATTTTGTTGCATTGTGCGCCAAAATATGAAATTTTAGGACAATAAGAAAATTGATGAAATAAGAAAAGATGATTACATTCATGCACATTGTAAAAATCAAAACCTTTTGTTTCCATTACAAATAATGCAACACAAATTAATCTTGAGAGACAGAAACACACTCTCAAAAAAAAAAAAATATTATCACATGGATGTAAAAAAACATGTAAGTTCCAAACATATGTGTGACGTCACCTTGGTCTCTCCCATGCTATCCTGTGACGATCTAACCCTTGGCTGATTTGGATGGAAATCTGGTTAGATTCGGCACCAGCTTTGTCATTTCCAGCTCGCCTCCAACATCTGGTTATAGAAGTAACTGCTTTGATTTCTAGTCTAACCTACCCACGCTGTGATTTGATCTTAGGTAGACAAAATCAATCAGGCGTCGGGCCGTAGTGCAAGCTGAATTCGGGGCAAAGGTGATACCGCACAAGTATATGTAAAGGAAAATAAAGTAACAACTCGAAATATTCAAATGTGTTAAAAAAAGAATAACAAGTATCTTTATATCGGGTTGCTGAATACAGGACTGCATCTTTCTCCCAAACCGCTTCTATGGATACATGACACTTTGCGTTTCTTAGGCGAGTCTTAATATCTTAAGTTGTTTTTCAATAAACTGGTTTTTGGTATCTTCAGGCGATATTCGTAAAACTTGTTTTGGTGGTGTGAGTCCAAGTCGTTCTTCAAAAAAAAATTGTTTTTGGTCAGAAGTCTAAGTCGGAATGCGTGGAAATCTTTCAGTCAGCTCCTGCGAGGCTGGTCTCCGAGCTCACAGCTCAACTCTGTGACTCCAACTGTCAGCAACTGTGTTGTGACTGCACCAACTGTGTCTGCCCAACTCTGTCTCTGTCCCACTGTGACTCTTTACTCTGGGGACGTTCGTTTATATGAACGCTGACCAAAACCGGGTGGAGGCCTGTCGAGGTTTGGGTTCCTCGATAATTCCAAATCTGCAATAAGGATTTTCTTTGTTTTTGGACAGGAAAATTTATCACTTCCCATTTTTGGAAGTCAACTACTTTCTGTTTTAGAGGAGTTCTTCCCAAATTCTTCCTCACACCAATCCCCTCAGAGGCGTCAACATCGCCCATCGCTCACGCCACCATTCAGCCAATGAACGCTCGGCAGTGTGGGTGTGGCTAGACTGGCCTCAGTTTACAATTATCACTCAAAGAAAAAAAAATTATATTCCTTTTTCTTTTCTTTCTTTTCCACCGACTAGAACCCTCACGAATCGTACTGTGGACATTAAATCTCTATCTTAACTTGATGTCATCTGGGATTCATCAACAGGATTTTCGCCAAGTTATTATCTGGGTGGTCAACTGAATCTCTTTGTCTTTGTCAACATCATCGCATTCTGTCGCCAACAGTCTGTCCAGGTAACAAATTTTTATCATGGCAAGTTCTGGATAAATTTTTTATCATGGCATTTTTATCATGGCAAGTTCTTCCAAAACCAAATGATATCTCCGAAAGATAGTTAATGGCTTATTCTTTTTCTTTTTCTCTTCTTCCTTCCTTCCTTTGGGGTGGTCTCACCTAATTCTTTCTCGGTCGCATGCTTGACCCAATTTTCGATTATCTTCTAGCATTCTGCTTTGTAAGCCTCTTGACCAATTTGAAATTTTCATTATTGCCATGGGCAGATTGCTATCTGCCTTTCCTTGCCGCGTCATGGCATAAATTAGTTCTGACAGATCCGAGATGTTACGAATTTTCTATCTTCTGCGAAAAAAATACTTTTCTTCACAAATGAAAATAAAATCTTTACCCATTTTTCTTTTGTATGTCTCTCGTCATAGCTTCTTCACGCCTTAAGTATTTCTCGCTTTTAATTTCCATGCTTAATTAGTTAGCCAAAAGCTAAATAGTGTCATACATGTAAAGCAAATGCATTAATATTCAATATTATTAATTTACATAAAAAGGATAAATACCCGAAAAGTTCCAAAGATTGAAAATGGGATAGTAAGAGAAACAATTCTTCATTTTAAAAAGGACCTTCCCATACTACTGTTGTATTCAGATGAAGGGTTTCTTGGGGCTTGAGGTTTAGTAGCTGGATATGGCTATGAATTTGTTGTCGCTGGAATCACTGGTAATAAATTGTTCACTCTACCTACAGGGGCAGGGCGTGACAATATAACGCAAAGGCAGTGATATTTGACTCCATCTCATAAGTTTTTTGAACTTCTTAAATAGGCTTTGTAGGCTTTTGTGACGTCAGCAAAATTCCTTCAGTAGAAGCTTTAAGTCATGCTTTCTGAACCCAGAAATTTTACAACAGTAATATGGTTTTCAAATCAATAAAAATATTGGTAAATTTTGGTTTTGTTTCCCGAACGCTAATATCCCTTAAAATTTTTCCAAAATCGTCATAATTCCATGCAAATGTACATGCTGAACTCGAATTAACAATTAAATTATGAAGAAACCTTACCGTTATGGAGTTATTAACAAGAAAAAAATCGGACTTCTTGTTGGTCGTTCGTCCCCCATTACTGCCATCATGATTACTGATTCACTGCGTAGCACCTACACAGGCGTAATCAGAAAATTTGGCCTATTTACTTCTTTTACAGACTTTCCTTGCAGAAAATCACTACGCACTACCGTAAAGAAATGTATTTTTTTTTTTTTTTGGTAAGTGTAGTTTTATTTATAACAAAAACAATACAACAGAACCTTTTTTTCCGTTTTGAATAGCAATGATAAATTAAAAGAACAAATTAAATAATAAAAATAAAGCATTTATATTTTAAAATTGAAAATAAAAAAAAATAAAAAATTTACCAAAATATTTTTTAATGCAAATTACATTTTATGCTATATTTTTGTTTTGGTAGTGCGTTCAAATGATAAGTTTTAAAAACTAATAAAAGCATATAGAATAAAAAAAATTAGATTCTTAAATTGATTAATATTAAAAAAATAATTTATAAAGTTAAACTATTCGGTTAAAGTTTTCTTTTAGTCATTTGATCTCAAAAGACTATCGTGCGTAAATAAAAAGTTATTTTCATTCTGTTTTCAAAGTTTTATTAAAATCCGAAAATTATTTGATTTTTGAAAAAAATTTCCAAATGTTTTTCACTTGAAAAAAAAAAGCGCTAAAACAATAAAATATTCCGTCGACCGATTTTTTTAACCAAAATTTAAAACGTGCTAGAATTTTTAATCCTTATAAAATAAATTTGAAAACACGTTTCTCGTACAAATATTAGATTTTAAATTGATTTTTAAATTTGTTTACACTTTACAATATTATTCGTCGTATACAATGACGGTTGAAGAGTGACAAAAAAAAAAAAACAAAAAACAAAAACGTGTCAATGTTTTAAAAATGCCTAAAAAAAGAGTTTATTTATACGGAAATTAATTTTTTCTTGTAATTCGGATTTAATTAGAACTTTAGTAGATCATTCAAGCAAGTAGGACCGAAATTTAAGTTTAAAGAAGGCGCATTTTTATTTAAAATTAAAAATAAAATTCATTTCAGATTTATTTTTTTTTAGAAAGTGAATCGAAGTGTGACATTGTTGAATGTTATTTTTTAAAAGAATTAGTAAAATAAAAAAAGTAACTAACCAAGACAATGAATCTGCCGCCCTAAGTGTTATTGGTTTCATTATGGAATCAAATAAGCACTTTCGCAAGAAGCGACACTGAACATAACTCAGTGCAAAGCTAAGAATTTGTATTATTTCGTATATCTCGAGTCGATAAGTTGGTTTGCTTCACTGTCAGTGGCAACACTTGTTTTAGAGACTATCTTCTTACATGTACAAACTTTTACCTGTGTTTTAAATCCTGAGTATATGCTAACAAGTTTACTGGTCAGGTACTGAGGATGTATCGTCAATAATTTAAGCTGCCATTCCTCTTGTGTACTCACTAATGCTAACATTCCGTTTGCTTTCCAGGTTTGTGAAAAGAGAAGAGCGTGCTGGGTTACTAGGCAACGACGCCATCTTTTGATGACGAGATCTCGCGAGATGTGGGAGTGGGTGCGCAGATTAGGTGGCAGCTGCTGTCATGGCCGTCTATGTTGGCGGCGAACCTTCGCCTTGCTTTCTCTCCTTTCTGTTTACTACTGGTTCTCCGTGGCAGCTCTACTCCTCAATAGCTAGCTTCATCAAACTACAACCAAGGAATACATCTATATGTTATTTAGCTCTCATGTCAAACAGGCTGATGCTAAGCAGTTTTTAGAAGACGTACATAAAAAAAAAAAGAAAAACACTAACACAGCACAATAACACAATCTCAAGATTGGCTTCTATGTAACAAGGTAGGCGGTGGTCTAAATTCGAGAAAATATATATATATATATATGCACATACATAAATATAATTGTGTATATATAAATATATAATAATCGGAAGTAAAGGGGGGGAATCGAATGTCTGTACGCCGCCGGTAGAAGTATTATATTTCTTTATTATTTAATGTGTTAAAAAGAAAACTGCATCTTTTTCTCTTAACCTTTAACATTTTTCCTTGTGCAATTGAATTATCTTTTCGACCGGTGACTATTCCACATGATTACACACTTTCCTTAAAAAATTCTGAAACAGTTACCGTTGTCATTTTATTATTGCTGACTAAAGCTAACTAACACTTACTCTTATTAGCTTTTTTTTTTTAAATTATAAAATTATTGTTACATTTTTCTTAAATTTAAACTTTATCCCTGGGGTGCATGCACAATACATTATCCAAAAAATATACATACTTTTTTTGCTTATTAAACACAAATAAGTACCCACCTGCCACAGTGAAGGAAAAATCATAGCTACATCAAAAGTACCCGCCCCCATTTTTAGATTTGTTTGACTTTAAAAGTATTTTTACTTTTTTCTCTCCGCCTCGTTAAATCTCTGACTACGTTTGCTTACTGTCATGTAACAACATCTTCAAGGTAAGTGTTACTGTTAACTGAAAAGTATTTAAAAAAAAAAATTAATTTTATTTTTGTTGATAACATTTTGTTCCTGGAAAAAAAAAACTTCCTGTGTTTGTTGAACATTGCTAGACTCCTTCATTTTTAGAGTTGGAATGTTTTACTTTTCTCTTATTTATTGTTTTACTAATTTAAATTGGTTATTACGCAAACTTGAATAATTTTTCAAACTTATTCCAATATTGTTTTTATTTTTAATTCATCAATAATATGAATGTATGCGTATTTTTAAATATTTTTTGCGCATCCTCAAAGTCATCTCAAAATGAAACTGTCAGTAAGTTGTAAATAACAATAAAATCTGATCGTTAGGGTTTTTAGTGCAGACTGCAAAAATTAGTTTAACTTGACTTTTTAATTCTTTGGTTATTCAGAACTGTCATGATGGCTTTTTTTCTTTTTTCGACTGACATTGGAAGAGTTAAATTAAAAAGTACATAATTTTAATAATGCATTTACTAGCGTTATGTCACAAAAAAACCCAGTAACTATTAAATTTAATAATAAAAATTGAAGTCATTATTATTCTCAGGCATAGGCTGTTTAACTGTTAAAAAGACAAACTTAAATAAAATTGAAAACCTTTGTTGTCTTTAATCAACCCTTTTTTTTGTACTTTGTTAGAGGAATGTTTTGTTTAAAACCTCCCTTTCCTTATTCTGCCTTTCTAAGTGTAAAAAAAAACAATTATGCTAATCAATCCTACCAGTATTTAGGTTTTCGTTGTCACCACTATTGTAGTATTGGTGGTACTTAAAGGCTACCGTATTGTAAATGTAAAATATTGTATTTTTGTGCAATGATGCTGGCTGGTGTTTCCCATCTCGTGTGTGTTTAGTTATTATTACTTCAATTATGTCAGTTTGTTAAATAGTCAGAAAAATCGGTTCGACTTGGTATTTTTTAAAATGTTAATTTTGGAGTGGAATGAAATTGTAATCTGTTGGTCTTATTATTTTTTTTTTTTTTGTCTCAACCTGTGTGATACTTGCTCGACTTTCATAAATGTAAAAATGCATTTAAAACGTACTGCACACACCAAGGAAAATTACTTTTTGTTTATAATGAAAAAACGATTTTGAAATCCGCCTCTCGGCGGATTTTTCTCCGAATTTCCGATGAAGTGGTTTTTAAGATGATCACGTGACCAAACATCTTATATTGCTCTATATATGTCATTGTTGTACAGGTGGGTAATAATATTGACGTAAAGAGTAAATCTTTCCTCCCTCTGGCAACCTTTTCCTCTATATGACTCCAAACTAGATTTGAAATCAAAAGTTTTAAGTTCAGTAATGCAATCAAAAGTTTTAGAGTCTCTTGCACGATTAGAATAATTAATTGTTTGAAAAAAATTAAAATTATCCACACACTAAAAAACGCCATTATTCAAACATTGAACACTATTAAATTACCTTTTTTCAACTTCATTTAAAAAACCGACGACATTGCAAGAATCTATTCATGATTATGAGAATAAACGTATGAGGTATGTATTTTAAAACCAGTTATTTTCTAATCGACATGGCAACATGTTCATCTTCTTACTCATCATGACATTTGAAACCTGCGAAACAATCCATAACCACTTCAGACTTTCGTTCAAATCTTCATTAACATTTGGATTTGATGAATGAAACACTAAAAATTAAAATAAATACTTTAAAGTCCTTCCTTCCATGAGTAAATTTGCAGACTACTACTCAATACTTTTTTATGGCTTCGCTTAATTCAGTATTTTTTTTAGTTATGTATGGTTACTTCTGTTTCTTTTTTAGTTACTTATTGCTGTTTTTTTTTTCTTACACTTTAAAAAGCCGATCTTATTTAATTCACCTTTTTTTTTTTTTCTTATAAAGTAAGCTACTTTTTTTTCGAAAACTAATGTAAAATTGCTGAAACTTTTTTTTTTTTTTTTTAAATTGAAATATTAGTTGCTGGGTATTAATTAATTATTACAATATTGTTAATTGATGAATATCAATTTGAATTAACTAAATTTTAGTAGTGGTTTGATTTCCTATATTTACTTCTAAAGGAGGATTATGATGAGACAAGACACTGGATTAAGCAAAATAACTTTAAGTGACAGAAGGGACAATCTCAACTCTTCGTACTTCGTCCAATACAGTCTTCAATCAATATTAATAAAATTATTAACTCTTATTGAGTAAAAAAAAGATAAAGTATAAAGGATACAATATAAGAAAATTCAGTGATATATTTTTTTTAACTTTATGTAAGTGTAATCAAGAGAATATAGCACAAAATAAAAATAATAAAAAAAAAAAGGGTTGCAAAAAAATAGGGAATACATTTCAAAGTTTTTTAATAGAAAGAATGAAAGTTTTTCTTGAAGCTTCTTTTTCTTAGTCAATATATATATACAAAGTTATTAATGAACATGACTCTTAATCTTTTTTAAACAATTTTTATGACAAAGCATGTGCAGTTAATGTAAGAAATAAGTTCTTATGAAAAAGATAGCTCAATTGAATAGAATACATAACTTCTCTTTTTACACTGGAAAGTGGCTTTTGAGTGTCTCTCTTCCTTAAAGTAGTTGTGGGTAACTGGTTTGGGAAACCTTTATAGCTCTAAATTTTGTCTCTTTTTAAAATTAAAGTAAGTAAGTGCAAATCAGTTATGTAGTGCACAAATTTTGAAACTTGACAAAAACTTCACTTATTAGGTGATAATTTTGAAAATTCTTACTGTAATAATTAAAATATATTGCAGCAAAATTGTACCAAATATTATTATTGGGCATAACATTAAATTCTGATCCCTCAAAAAAGAAACATGAACTGTTAGAGAGCTTCTTTGTGAGATGATCTTGTTTTGAAATTTACCAATTTGATTAGTAACACTAAGTGAAAACTATGCTCTGTCAGCTTGTATCTCTGCTGACATTCATAACATGACATTATCAGAAAATAAGAGTGGAAACAATAGTAAATTTAAAATTTATAGGTAATTTTCTAACATCTCACCAAGCATCTTTGTAAGTAAGACTATAAAAGCCAAAGAGCCTAAAATATTAAATTAGTATATTAGAATATTTTCCTAAATTTCTAGTATTATTGGGTAGTTAAAAAAATATATATAAAAATTTACAAATATGAATCTATCAAGAGAGTTATCAACACCCCATAAAAGCTGTGTTTAAAATATTGCAGGGTAGAATTTTTAACTAAAAGTTCAATTTGTTTCAAATCAGCTAATATTCCTCAAATAAAGTTTCAGAAAAATATATTTTATTTTTGAAAGTGTTTTTAATAAAGAGCATCACGTTGTGTTGACAGATTCACTAATTTTTTTTTAGCAGTTTTAATGATTTAAAAAAAATTCAATCAATTTAAATTTAGTTTCAAATATATTTTGCTTATTGTAAATGCTTAATTTCATTTATTAAAAATAAAACCTTCAAGAAAGATTTTTCATTTTTAAAAATGCATTTTAAGCCTGAAGTATCTTTTTTTTTTTTTTTTTTTTTTTTTGAGGGTACCTATAAATCTTTGTTAAAAATTAATGTAAAATACATCATTTGTTTTGTGTAAGTTTGCCTTCTAAAGAAGCAGCATGAGTTAATGGCAACAGATGTATTTAGATGCATGCATATATATATATATATATATATATAAAATACACAATCACAAATATTATCAGTATTTTTTGTGACTATGGTAAGCATCTATATTTTTATGCATGAAGTTACATTAATCCACTTAAAATATTTAAAACCAATTTTCTTCGCATAAAGAATTTGTTAGAAAATTCATTTAACATAAAACTAGTACTAAATGACCTTTTAGTTATTAATGTTTGAATTGATTTCATATTCTATTGTTTCTTTGACTTAACTCTCCATAGAATCTATAAAAGACAAGTACAAGAAACACTGGCTGACAAAAATAGTTGTCAGTGTTTTATGGCAAAGTCCAATTGTGGATATAATTGCACATTGATCAAAAACCATCTTATCTCTATGCGCCTAATAATAATGATGAATCAATTTTACTGATAACACTGTATCAGATGTTTCCATTGGCACAGAAAATGAGTAAGTTTTGGTTGATTACTCACTTTATAAGTTCTCTAATTAAAATTGCCACCTCTAAACAAATTGTCAGTTGATTCAGATTGTTTATTATTTTTATAGTAACTGCATTGAACCTTTGAAAGCATTGATCATAATCTTATCGAAGTTGTAGAAAGTCTATTATAAAAAAGAAATGATTCTTTATCACACATTGTGTGTGTGAGAGACTTACTTGCACTTGTGCCATGTAATGTATGCACAAAGTTTGAAATAAAACATTAGAATGATTCATTTCCTTCCAACTCAGACTGCACAACCATTACTCTGACTGAGTAATAAAATCAAAGTTGGAAACAAGGGAGAAAATTTTAAACCCTAAAAAAAAAAAGTCAGATTTTATTGAATTTTTCATGAACTATATTTTATTGGACTTTTCAGGAACTATTTGATAATAGAACTATTTTTAAATTGTTTTTGTAGAAATATATTTTTAAGTTTGTTATTGAATAAAAATCTGCATGCACAAACGTACATACACAATTTGGGTAACATTGATATGGACATTGTTATGATGACAAAAATGTGCTTTTCTGTCTGGGTCACAGGAAAAGAGTATATACCAAAATGTGTGGCTCTTTGAAGTTATTTTTATGATTTCTGTATTTAAACTTGGTATATATTTTAATAAATGTATTTTAAATGGACAAGCAATTTAGATTTAAAATTTGATCATCTTGCCATCAGTGAAGTGACGGGTACTGAACTAGTGCCTATGAATACATTTAACTTCACCACTCAATTAAAAAAAAATGAATCCTTTTATTTTTATTTATTTTTTTTTAATATTTTGGTACTCTTAAAGTAAAATGTGTTTTAATGTTTTTTTTTTTCTTTCTTTGATGAAAACAAAGGCAAC